TTGCAAAAATACTTTCCAGGAAAGCCTCTTTTAATGAAGTCTGAGAACTGTCTGTCACAACTCCAAATGGCCTGCAGCATTTTCAGAAACATATTCAAATTCTAGGCAAGTGTCTATCAAATTGCAGCAGTTCATCTCATTTTGCGAATCACCAGCGAAATCTGCTTTTGGTGCCCTTTACAATGAACAGGAATTTTTTGCTAAGAAATAACACTGAATATCAGGAAACTAGCCCCTCTCTCTCCTTCCTATGTACTCTTTCCAGCTGATTAAGCTTAATGTTTCCCTCATTGTATGCACATATGGGTTTATTTCAGATAAACGGAGGCAAGGTTTTCCTGTCATTTTGCTTTCCTCTTAGGCCCCATATGTCTCAGTTTCTTCCTCACCACTGTCTCTTCATTTGTGTATTCATACATACATACATATCTTTCCCTTTTTTGTTATGATATTGCAGCAGCTTCTGCTACTGGGGACCATGTGACCTACCTTCAAATCCCACTCGGTGAATACCCTTGACCCTTGTTGTGTCCTTCATCTTTAGAAGCTTTTCACGCAGAGGAATTTGTTAATTTTTGCCAACCACCTAGTAAGAGACAGAAATGAAAACCTGTGACTAAGCAGACAAATAACTGCACATCAGTTAACATAGAGGTGACCCTGCAGCTCCCACAGGGCTGGATGCTCATAACCCAGGTGATACCACGATTCAAACAGCACTCCTCCCCTCAGGATTTTTGTGCTTCAGCATAGCCATATAGCTCTCCAGGCACAGCATGTTCTTATTATGGGCCCTGGGTGACTCTGAGCTCAGACCTTCAGATAAACTCCAGTGGACAATTTTTCCTGGTGTTAACAGGGCTCCTTGGATACTGCATTTAGGATCTCATATTCACAGGAGGTAGCAGAAATGGTCTCCAGAGATTCCAATGGTTCCATTAGTACCAAAACAACCCCCAGCAACTTTGATAGCTAACCTTAGCAACTAGGAAACCTAAAAATGATTGGCATATTCATTCTGAAATGAAACAATGTCTGCTCCCCTCGCACAAATGAGATTCCATTCCAGTCAGCTACTGCATATTTATGCTCAGCCTTTTCGTTAACTTATTGATCATGTGGTGATTCACTATCCTTTGCTACCTTTGAGGAAACAAAAAATGGGGGGAAAATGTGCTCTAATGGTGAGGTAATTTCATGCTTCCTGAATATTCAGTCCAATCCTCCTGGTCTCTTTCTGTCCTCCTTTCTCCCCAAAAGCTTCATGGGTCTCCACAGAACTCCCACAAGAGAGGGCAACTACCATTCCCCAGTAAGCCCCTGGGGCTGCCATAATGTGATATGTAATTATACAGCTAAATCAGTGTCAAACGTCTCCCTTTAAGGATAAAATATGGTATTACACTCTAAATTCCTGTACTGCAAAAACAAACAGTGCCATCAATTCACTTCCAGTCAGACCTCCACCCTCTTGGGAAAAGTATACAGAACTTTCTGGTGGGAAAAATAGTTTGGAAATACAACCTCTTTATTAGATTGAAAGCTCTTCCTTCATTCAGCTTGTCTTTCATTAGCCACCCTGGTACACTCCAGTGAGGAATGTGGCTTTGAGAGGTACTTTGAGGTCACAAGAGGCAAATCCCTAAGGAGTCTAATTCACTCTCTGTATGTACTCATAACTCTTGACAAAATTATGAGGTCTGATCCAAAGCTAAGTAATCACATGGTCATTCGTAGGTAAATGTCTCTAAGGAGGGTGGCTTTTTAAGGAAGGATTCCGTTAACTTGCACACAAATGAAGCATCTATGTTCTCTGTTTTCTTTGAGCTCTATTACTGTGAATAATATCTTCTTGTTTTTCACCCTTCTGTTTGAGATACAGAAGGAGCAGGTGAGGAGGAAAGGAAGGTTTTAAAATTCATGCATTTTCTTAATTCAACACTAGCATATTGAATATGGGGTTGAGTAAAACTGCATTCATATCCATGGTTCCTCTTTATCACTCATATAAGAGGTACAGGAGGAAGAGAAGAGTTCTCTGAGTCCACCTTACAGCCTAGCAGTAGCATGCCATGATAGCGCTCCTTCTGTGACCGCAGAATGGACTAGCCCATGACGTTCAAAGCAAGGAGCTGATGAGACTCAGCAGAGCATCCCTGGGGAAAGAACTGAAAGGGTAAATCTGGAGCAATTCCACAGAAGTTAGCAGAGTGACTCCAGATATGCTGTGATTTCACAAAGGTCCAAATCAGCTGTATGTGATGGCAATGAAAAAGGAACCTTTTCTTTCCAGGTCAGAATCTCTCCTGAGATGTACCAACTGTGTCAGCATAATGCCATTGCTTTCAGTGAAGTTACATTACTGCAACTGGGAGCAGAATTTAACTCAGTGGATTCAGTGGTCGTCTGAGGACAGAATTTAATGTTACTTGTCACCTTGGTCTTGTACCAAGAGTAAATGCTGTTATAACAGCAGCCATGACTGTTGGCTTCTGTGTCCAGAGCTGCTCAATAAAAAGAAATTGCTAATTTGGTTACCCCAAAAATATTCTTTGCTGTATGATTGTCATCATACAGCTAGTAAAAATAACTAGCTGTCCATCACCACAGATCTAAAAGTAGAGTCATCATTTTTGTGGGCGAAACCCTGCACAACTTGTTTCTGATCTTCACCCTTGCAGCTGCCCAAAAGCAAACTCTGCTTTTTCTGGAGTTGTTTGGGTTTCTGCTGAAATCCTTAGTAGTTCCCAAACTGTGCAGTTGGAGAAGGAAATGGAAGATAGCCATGCTACTGAATGCATGTGCTCATTTGGCTGTGCCATGTGAGCAGTGCCATTGCCTTCGGCAGGACTGTCCACATGCACAGGGGCAGGAGGACTGGGCCTGTTGTCTTCTACTCCATTCTCTTTGATCCTGCAAGTGTCTTCTCTGCCAAGGTCGCATCAGGCTGCAATGGCACTTTTTGCAACTCTGTGTGATCTGTCTGTCCTTTATTTATTAAAATGTATGTGCCTCTACAATTTAATCTGCCATTCTCTCCCTCGCCTTCCTCTTGGTGAAGTCTAATTATAATTTTATTCCAGGTCCGTCTGGTTGCTAACGATGCTGGACATCACCGCTGAATTCATTCTAATATTTGTTGTGTATTTTCTAGGCTGGATGCTGAATAATAATATTCTCTGAATTTGCTTTTGCTCCTGTTTCCTTCCTCCCTGCTGTAGCTAATTGTGTAGTAATGAGTAGTGATGGGATGATTTCTCCTCGCATTGTAGATCTGCTAAGAGTTGCCTGTTATCAGGCAAAATAAAAGGCTTTTTTGCGGTTTTGAGAAGCAGATTTTTAAGTCCACTCTATCAGCTCCCTTCACTGGTGTGGAACCAGTTGGGCAGTGTCTTTCTCTGCCTCTTCTTTTTTCTTTTTTTTTTTTTTCCCTGCCCCACACATAGTATAGCTTGTAACTGTGAGTCTCAAAGCATCCTGATAGGCAGTGTTTCAAAATTTAGAAAGAAGCTTTTTGCCAGTGCCTGTTCTATGGGATGGTTGAGCCCATAGTAATCTCAGGTTCCCAAGACTGGCTTTTGCAGTGCCAGTACTGAGATTTTTTTTCCCCCTCCTTTTTGCTTTCTGCAACACTGCCTGGGAACACAGACTTACAGTTTACCCATGACCTGACTATCTGGCTAAGAATAGCAGTCGCAGTGCAACTTGGGTTCAGTCTCACTTGGAGACATGCTGCAGCTGGGAAACAGGGAGGTCAGATTAGCCTGTGCTCACAAAACCAAAACAGATAAAAGGAACACAGAAGGTTTTGTATGTTTGCTTCTTTTTAGGACTGCAGAACAAGAGGAGAGGTGTTCAAAGGTATTTTGTGAGCCAAGATAAAATGTCTTTGCTCATGATATTAACTTGAACAGGAAGTAGACAAAGAGAAGCTTTTCTTCCAGGCTCAGCAGGACCTGTTTCAAAAGGATCCCATATCCTCATGGCCCATTCAGCAAACAGTTATGCAGGATGGGGAAGCCAAACAGTGCAGGTTAGCATCTCCTGAGCACTGCTTAGGACAATGAGATGCATCACACAAGATATTGCTGCACAGCAAAACAAAGGTATGAGTTTAGCACATGCCAGAAGGTCTGCCATAGCTTGTTCTAGACAGCTAATGTATCAGTGGTGCTATGGCATAGTCTTTAGCAAGAGTTAGCAACAGGTCTTATGCTGAGCACATGCTAAAACAGACTTTGGTTCCATCCTTACACCTTCCTGTAGGATACACTGGCAGACACTACATTCACACTGTCATTTTGCAGTGCAGAAGTGCTTTCAGAGTAACAAAAATATCAGCCTGGCTCTGTATTTTGAGAAGGGAGCTAAGGTATTAGCAACAGAAACTGTAAGGTAAAAGAAGCGTGACAACCAGTGAGCTTTAACTAGCACATCCCCTGGCTCAGCTCTGCCCTCTCCTCTGTTGTGATGGGGCACCTGGTCATTCTTAGCACCAGCACAGAGCCTCACATACGGCATACAAACTGGTGGCTTTATTCACATTGGCAGAAGGGGAGCGATTTTTTTGAGACAATATGACACCGTTCCTGTACTCTTCCCCCAACCAAATCTAAACCCATCTGAAATGGGGAAAGGTAGTATGTTGCTAGGAATCAGAGAGATTCAGAGAGATCTCGTCCTGAGATGAGAGGAGCTCATCCTGCAATCCCTGCTCCTGTGAGCAGCCATGCTCAAAGCCATCTATGTGGCTTCCCTTCATACCACTCTCAGAGTCAGAGGGGAGCAGTCGCTAGCCTAGGATCACATTAACTGGAAAGGGGCTGCTCACACAAGTCAGAGATACCAGCACTGGCCGGCAGCTTGAGATGCAACAAGTAGACTTAAGAGGAATACCATTTGAGGTATCAGGGCAGTAATTCTAATGGTAATTTTGAACTGTTTTTGTCTGTCTAACATTCCTTTTTAATCCCCATCCTGCCTGCCCCTTCCTTATGTAGGGTTACTTTAGTGATCCTTGGAATGTTTTTGACTTCCTCATCGTAATTGGCAGCATTATAGACGTCATTCTCAGTGAAACTAATGTGAGTATTACTCTACCCTCCCCAGGATACCACCACCTCCTCCTCCTCCTCTGCTGTTCCTTCTTTCTTTCTCTCCTTCTTTCTCTCTTTTATTTTTTCTGATTTTTTTCCCTCTAGTCATGCTTTTATTGAACTTGCAGTCGTCCTTCTCCTTCTCCCAGGGAAAAAAAAAGGAGGGGGGGGAAACGCCTCCTTCTTTTTCACTTGTCATAGCTCGCCCCAAGGCTGTGACTGGTGAAAGCGCACAGAGTTTGGGGTGTGTGTGCTTTTTTTTCCCTCCAAAAGGTAGACATGCTTGAGTGTAACTTTCTGACTAACCAGGCTTTTGTTGATACCCTCCATCATGTGAAACGTTACAGAGGTTTGAGCAACCAATACTGTAGAGTGGTAAGAGACTATTTAATATGCCCACATAACCTCTTTCTTTTCTTATTTTTTTCCTCTTCTCTCCCTCTTTCATGCTTTTTTTGTTTTGTTTTGTTTTTTATTTTATTTTATTTTACTTTTTACCTTTTTTCCCTCTTTCTCTACCTCTCTCTCTTTCTTTCTCTCTCTTGTTCTTTCTTTCTCTTCCTTTCTTTCTCTTTCCTTGGCTTCTCTGCCACATGCAGCACTATTTCTGTGATGCATGGAATACATTTGACGCCTTGATTGTTGTGGGTAGCATTGTTGATATAGCAATCACCGAGGTGAACGTAAGTAGCTGGCGTCTGTCCATGATCGTGCCTGCTCTAACATTCATTTGTCTTTCCCGGGTTCTTTTATTTTTCCTCCCCCTTCCTCCTTTCTCTTGGGTTTGTTTTAAGAGCTTTTGGTTTAGTTTTTAAGCTCTCTCTCTCTTTTTTTTTTTTTTTCTGTTTTAATTTTTGGAACGACTTAAAGGGCTTTTTGACTGTTGCATCATTTTCTTTCCTTCATAAACCGCCTGGCATGAATTAAACTGTATAGCAGGAAAAGTGATGGGAAATGTGGAGTGTAAGTGAAAAAGATATTTGTGCCATGGTAAGCTGCTAGAACAGTCTCAGGCCAGCACTTTGGTCTACCCAGCATTATGCTTTGCTTCCCATGGCAGTTGAATACTCTCCACCCCACAGAGATCTGAAGGTCAGTTCTTTCGAGGTGGAACTGTGGGAACCAAGCCTAGAATCCTTCTGGTGCCCCTTTCCTACTCCACCTAGGCTTCCTCCAAAATAAATAAAAGATCAAATCAACTCTGTTTAGAGGAACTTGTGCCTAATATTTAGTTTCTAATTTGAAAAAAAAAAAAAAGGTAGATAAATTATAAGGAAGACGCACAAAGAAAAACGACATGTCTGTGACTCAGCCTAGTTTGGTTTGCTCCATCTCAACAAAATCCACCACCAGCACAGCTGGCACTGATTGGCCCCGGTGGTGCCCATCTGAGCAGACAGGTGAAGGATTGACTGAGCCACGGAGACTGAAATGAGCGGCTGATATTCAAAGAATAAGTCACATCAGGCAAATTTTTTCCTCTGTCTTTTTTAGGAAGGTGGGGGCAGAGTGGGCTGCAAGGGGGGCATCAGATGGGGTAGAATTACAGGATAAATAAACAGGCAGGAAGCATAAAGATTCCAAAAAGAAAGCAAAGGACCCGCTAGATTTAGGAGCACGGATGAAAATAGTGCTACCAATCCAGCTTAGTGAAGACAGGAAAGTAGAAAGACTGTAAAAAATTGCTGTGAAGATGTTTAATGAAGAGCATATAAATCACGAATTTGCAAAACAATATGGCTCTTGAATAAACATTCCAGCTTGGAATTGTTGTTTACCATAGAGGTAATCCAATGCAAGCAGAGAAGTGTCAGCGTAGTTTTCACTCAGTGCGTCGTTTAGGGGAAAATACAGACAACATTTTGAAAAGATCAAAATGCTTTATTTTGAACAAAATGTTTTGGTATTTTGGTCAACTTTATTTTCTGTTATAAACTTTCTTCATTTTTCTAAATTCTAAAACAAGGAAACTGATCCAAATTGTAATATTTTGATTTTGAATAAATAAAATACTTTATTTGGCCCTCGTCTATTTTCCTTGTCTTTTGAAAGAATGGAAAATAGTCCCTAAATGAAAATTAAGGTTTTTTTTAAACATCTCTTACGTGTTCTACTTCCTGCTACAATTTTGTTCAGAACGTTGGAAACAATTTTGGTTACCCTTTTACTAGAACAATATTAAGACTGGCATGAGTTTGTAGAGGGAAATTGAAATGATCAGCAGGCTCAAGTGATTAATTTTAAAGAACAAAATAAAGCCTTTTATATGTCACCCTTGTCACAAGAAAACTAAAATGGGAACCTGGTGTTAGCCTACAGATTGTGGAAATGTTCAAATCTCATCAAAAGAGACAGTATTGTACATGATAAGTGAGGAAGTAACTATAGTTAATGGGACGCTAAACATAAGAAGACCTTCCTAACTGATGTATTTGAATCTGTTGAAAAGTCTTCCAAGTAAAAAGGAGGAAAACCCTTTTGTTTTGTCAAATAAATGGAGGCCTATCATACTGAGAAACCCTACATAGAAAGAAAATCTAATGGTTCCTTTTGAAGAAATTCAGAGTAATTTCCTATAAATTAAAGAACTTTTTACATCAAGGTTTGATACACTTTGATATACATCTCACAAAAATTCAGCCACCTGAGAGAAAGACAGGTAGCCATCCAGGCTGCTTCTTACACTTAGAGAGAAATACACACTTCCACAGGCCAGCCGATTCCTTCCTATGTAAGTGTCTGTGACAGGTGAAATGAATTGCTTTTTGGAGGTGCCTGTCCAATGACTGTAGAGTGTCTAGGTTGTTAGGTTTGTCTAGACATTCAGCTCTTAGACACTAGATTTAAGCAGGATAAATGGCGACCATTCTCAGCATATTATAGAAAAGATCATGCTGCTGATAACTGTGCCATGTAGGTCCTGTGCAGAGATCTTCAGTCTCCAGGGCTATCCATATTGGTATGTTTAATTACCACTGACGAGGCTCCCTCTCTTTTCCTTTCTCTGTCTAAATTCAGGTTCATTTCCATGTTAGCCAAGGCCTAAAATCGAGTTTTTGGTTACCGAAGTATATGAAAAATGAGGGTGTGCCTCTTTCCAAAAAACCATCACCTGTCTTAGATGAGGAGGCAGCAGGAGCAGCCCTTACTCGTTTAGTAAGGGTTAGGGACAGCATTTCATGATGGTCCCTGTGTTTCCTCTAAAGAATCCTTTCCTTCTATACAGTTTTTACAGATTTCTGCACACGTCTTTTTATTACCTGGCATGTTTAAATCTTCTCTTTTTATCTAGGCAAGTCCTTTGCTGCTAGTTTCTAATGTTTGTTACTAAAAACTTGCACAAACTTTTGATGCGCTGATAAATGAGCAGCAGCTATGGATGGAGTTTGTTCTGAAATGTTTTGAAATCCCTTTGCACTTATAACCCTTATGGAATAAGAGAATGTATTGTATGTTGGTTTGTCCTGTCGGATTCCCTTCCTGCTAGCAGCACTTGATATGTTACATATTTAGCAGATGGGCATTGGAAATATCAGCCCATCTTGGATGGACAGTTGTCATCTTCCCAAGCAGTGTGAGGCAGTTTATCAGATGCACTTCTCCCCTTCTCCTCAGGAGCTTGTTGCTTTCTTGCTGTTTGTGGGTTTGAGCAAACCCTGCCTTGTGTCTCTGTACACTGTCTTGTCTTGTTCCAATAGACCTGGAGTCTGAAAAAGAAAGAAAAAATAAACCCCAAAACATCAACGAGCTCCACTAATTGGAGATGTTTAGCCTGGTCAGGTGCAGGTAAGAAGTTTCTGCCCAACTCATAAGAAGCTGAAGAACGTTTGTGGTAGGATCTTGGAAGGTACTGCTCTTTGGAGCTAAGGACAGCTTTCACTGTGGTCAGTTAGTGAAGATGGAGACAACTGGAATAGGTTAGTTTGACAGCAGGCCGTAGATGTGTAAGCCTGAAATTTCTGTGAGGTTCACCAGACATTTGCACTCAGAGGAAACATACCCAGGAGGTGTTAGGTGCTATAGCTGTGGTTGCTGTGGAAAGTCTTGACTGACAGGCGCTGCGGTATGTGTGTCGGTATACGCTTGCATCTACTTGTGCAGTTCCCCATGCTCTGTTTTTTCCTTTTGACGATTATTTTTGTTTTTTGAAAAGGAATTTCCCAGACCAAAACCTTCGTTAAGATATATGTGAGTGTGCATGTGTGGGTTTTCATGTGTGTACTCCATTGGGTGTAGTATATGTTCCTGAATGTGTTTGGATACCTGTGTATGGGCTACAGATCAGTGGGCGAGTGTATAAACATGAATCTGTGTGTGTGGGAAAGAGAGAATGTGTATGCAAGCATATGTATTTGTGTTCTGAATGGTTGTTGGTGGAGACATGTGGGTTATTTGGTGTGTATCTGAGTATACGTGGACACGTTTTCGGAACCAGTGTGGCTCTCCTAACGTGCAAGTCTGATCTGCTAATGGGCGGATGTTTGTATCTGGGAGTTTACTGTATGCAGGCATGTTCAGCTGCATGTCTTTGGATGAATGTACACTTGCATGTCAAGCTCAGTGTATGTTTGTTAGCATGGCTCTGCATTCACATGTAGTGAGAAGGCATGTACTCATAAGTCAGGTCCCCTGGTTGTCTGCAGTATTTCTCAAACCTTAGGCAAACCCCCACTTAAATCACCTCCATGACATGAAAGTATATCAAGTGATAATTCCATTTGCATCCAACTGCAACTTGGGAACACTTCCCAGGTTCCCCCCAGCCAGCCCCACAGACAGAGAGATGCATCTCACGCCAGTTATTACATGTGAAGGGCATAGGGCAGGTTAAAATCTCATAGATATCAGTTTCTGCCAAATTCTCTTTTAAATTAGCTTATTTTCAAACTTACTGTATGACTGCATTGCAGAGCTTTGTTTCCTACTAAGTGTTACACAGCTAACTTCCTAGCCACAAAACAAAGATTTTTTCAAAATTTTCTGTAAACATTGATTCTATTTTGGGCCACTTCTAGGCAACTCTTTAAGTAACTAAAGGGTTTGGGTTTTTTGTTTTGTTTCGTTTTTTAATCTGCTATTAAAAATGAATATCCAAGGCAGAAACCACATCTGCCATTGTTCAACTGTCTCTAAAAGCTAAGACCAAGCATGAGCTTTTGGGGATAAGATGAAATATGATGTGCTGTTTGGGGCCTGGGAGGCAGGTCCTGTGGGTTATATTTCTTGAACTTCAACTATATCCCTGTGCCTCAGTCTCCCCGTCTGTAAATTGTGGGTTCTGATGATTCCCCGAGTAAAGAAAGCGTTGTCGTTAGTGTTTACAAAACACTTTATGGTCCTTATTGGGAAACACTGTGGTGCTAAAAATGATTACTATCATAATAATGAAAGAAAGAAAATATTACAGGAGTTAAACAAAAGCCAGCAAATTTGGAATATGTCATCCAAGAAAGAGTCCCAAGCACAGGCTTAAATTTCCTTCCTTTCCTCATCAGCAGACACAGCCTAGAGTTCAGTCCCATGGAGCTGACTGACAGCCTCCTGTCCCCTCCTCTAGGCAAACAAAATTTCTCGTTACTATTTGTTGTGCTGTACCAAAAGAGGAAATCAAGCTTGATATATGCTCTGAGCTACAGTGCCCAGAGTGGTGGAAGAAAACAGTCAGTCTCTGAGCCACTGAGAA